TCAAGGGAAGGTATGTATGGAATCTTTTATGAAGTGCTCTTGGTCCATAATGGTATATGTTTCTTGGTCACTGTAATCTGTTGGTTTGTCAGGATGTTATTGGTGCTGCTGAGACGGGGTCTGGAAAAACACTTGCTTTTGGCTTGCCCATTTTACAGCGTCTCTTGGAAGAGCAGGAGAAAGCTGCAAACCTGCTTGAAGAAAAAGGCGAGGGAGCAGAAAAATATGCTCCAAGAGGTGTTTTACGTGCTCTTATCATTGCCCCCACAAGGGAACTTGCGCTTCAGGTACTTCTCTTTATTGCCCTGCTTAACAAAATATATTTTTGGCATATTTGGGAGGTCAAGGGGGAAGGTGGATTTGAAACTTGGACCAACAAGTGATGCATATGTTTCTCTTTGTTCGCCTATTTTATTTTATTTAATCAAGTAAAAGTTGGTTTGTTGGACATTTTAATGATTTTTACATTCCTAAATTTGATTATTTTGGCTAATCACTCTGTCAAGTTGATGAAAGGATGCTCTCCACCCAAGAATAAATCATATATATTTATGTATGTGCCACATGCAAGCATCTGCTTCTTTGTTTTTCTTTTTCTTCTTGGAAATCTGGATAATTTACTTATGATGCATATGGTTGCACTTGGCACCATGCTGTATTATGAAATCTCTGCTTGCCCTATAGAAAACCAATGTTTGTGCTAAATAAATGAAGCATTGTTGAAAGTTGAAACAGAAACTCCTAAAAGAAAAAGAAAAATGGAAAGCAAAAGGAAATTGGCTTCCATTCCTACAAAGAATGTTCTGTCCTCTACTAAATAGTCATGCTAGCTTTCTGAATCTGAATTCTCCCAATTGCTTTTTTTATTTTTTTATTGCAGCTTTCTTGATGGATTTGAATCCTGATTTTTCAAGTTCATTTCCTCTCTCTCCAGGTTACCGATCATCTTAAGCAAGTGGCTAAGGGTATAAATATCAGGGTGGTGCCAATTGTTGGTGGGATGTCAGCAGAAAAGCAGGAAAGATTACTGAAAACAAGACCTGAGATTATTGTTGGAACTCCAGGAAGGTTATGGGAACTTATGTCAGAAGGAGAAAAACATCTTGTTGAGGTTAGTACTGAGGGGCAAGATGTTCCTAGTTTTTCCTGCTTAATTTTCTTGTTAATATGGATGCAAACTTTATCTTTCAAATTCTTATGGGTGCCACTGAAGATGCATTAAGTGCACTTGCTGTACAGGCCTATTTTGGTTTCCAGTTCCATCATGTGTTTTTGTTTTTTCATAATTAATTTAGTAACTACTCTGGATACGCTAGGTCCATAATAAAATGCGTACCTTGGTAACTTTCAATTCTGATGGGTTAACCACTGAAGGGTTCTATCACCAAAATCATCCCAAAACATCTAACATCAACTTTTGATTCTGATGCTACAGAAATGTGATACCTGACATTATAATTAGAATAGAAACTTTCATTAAAACATTGTTTAACACCATGCATGAATGGGGTGGCATACTAATTTAGGAACAATGCATAATCTTCACTTTGACTAATGATTTCTCCGGGAGTTTCAAGATGGCTTTTGTGAACCTAATCTCCCATCTCTACAATTCATTGTAATTTCCTCCTTGCTTAACTAAACTCTTCATCGTTACCACCTTGCTCCAAGAAGAAGAGTTCTATTTTGGATGACATGCAATACATTTGTACTTCTTTTTATTTTCATTTTTTTGCCTACTTTCTAATCTATCTGTATAAGAGCCATCTTCAATTTCAACAAAATTTTGTTGATTTCACTTGTGTTTTTGCTTTTGCAGTTACATTCATTGT